AGGAAAAGTTGAGGGTCAAGCACGGATCCTTATGGAGCTCCTCGTGGTACGCTGACGGGATCAGAAAATGACCCAGAAACGCGAACTTCCATGGTGCATTGTCGTAGAACGTCTTCTATTCTAGCCCAGTACAAGTACCCTGATTCCACAGTTGTGTAGTTTCCTCAGCAGTATTTTTGTTCGTCTGGTAAATGAAGATGTTGGTTGCAATGCATTAGTAGCAACAATGAATTCAGATTCAGTTTTTTATAACATTCTAGTACATTCATCATTTACTTGTCGTCTTATTTCGTAAAAGACAATGCCCACTATTTGAACAAATAAATGTTCGCACCAGCTAATTGTCAACTTGTCTAACTTCATATCACAGGATAACCAGGATTTTCTTATCATCTCAGGCAGTCCCGCTTTGTTGCCCAATGAGCTATTTGAAAACCAATCGTTACATGACTCTCCACCATCACTACCAGCACCATCGTCATCCTCATCATCGACTTCGTCCTTGCCAGTGGCCCTACTCAATCCGGCTGCCTTGCGGGTCGCTTGGACCTCAGAACACACGTTCTTCACTGCAATGTGGATCAAACGATTCACTCAAGCCAATTCAACCATATACCAGTGTCACGTAGCTAATTCGGTGGGTAATCGCACTGTGGCCAGATCAGTAACAGTTCCATGTAAGTACGAGGCAATCGATTGTCAGTTTTAAAAGCGAGGAAAAGCCCTTGAATATGAAGTTCAATTGATTCCAAATAAATGGAACTGAATTGGGTCCTAAAATCATGATTTGTATGAAATTATTTACATGTCTGGTTTATCAATTTGAATCAGAAACATTTCAAAGGTGCACCTCATGGGATTAGAGAACTGAAGAACGCAGTAAAACATTGGGCAGGTGGGGGATAACAATTAAACAGCGTAACCTAGTATCTGTTCTGGTAGCTCAACTTCGGATTGAGCGACGAGACAGTAACAATGGTCGAAACATACTAGAAAGATTTGTTCTTATTAATAATCATTATTATTAATTGCTGTGTATGATGTGTATGTATGTGTGTGGATTGTGCTCATGAACAGTGATCAATATATATGGATTCCCGTCACCAATTTTCGAATGAGAGTACACAGTAGTTGAAATATTCTCGAGCACTGATTTGGAAAGCGTAAACGGATCTATCGTAATGAATTCGTCTATGAAACGATAAAACCCTCATAAAATTAACGGAATTGACCTTATTAGCTCACCTCTTTCCTATGCGAATATTTTGTCCGTATCTGATCTCAGCATTAGAGAAACGATTGGCAAGGTTACAATGAAATGATTCATACATATGGTTTCATTTTCCAAGAATTTAACCGGGTATCTTTACTAGCTAGTGTTTAAATCCACATCTTATTTTCTATCTAATCCAAAGAACCGTTACAGATCTGTGAAACGTCAGCTGAGTTCTCCATTGGTCCAATGTACCCACAAAACGAACGAATGAAGACCGAGTTAGATAAATCATTCCAACTTTCCTTGATGTCCTATAGCAAACAGTTACAGTCTTATCACAACCCATATATATGCTTCTCACGGCTGAAATCCAATCATTAGAGATGCGGAAGTGATGTTTTACTTATCCATTTCCAAATTTAACCTTTTATTCGTATCCAAAGGTGGACTTTGGCGTCTATTTTTTGTTGCCCAATAGATTGGATCTGCGCTACACCAGGCGTGTACCGTTGAACTCTGTGCGTTTTGGAATTATTGTTCATTATTCGATAATCTCTTGAGGATTACTTTNGAATTATGTGTACAAGCATTAAGAAAAACGGATGTGTTGTTTGCAAACGCATGATCGGACCACGCACCAAGAGCGTGCAATGTGACGGGTGCGATGGTTGGATTCATATCGGATGCGCTGGTCTCACACCAGACAAATACAAATTCGTGGAGTCGGGCAAGTCTAAGTTTGTGAGAATTGTGTGCAATAACTGCCGAGTGCAACCA